CTGTTATCAAAATGCNCTTTTAGCACTAGGCGTCTAGTAAGCGATAGCTATCGCTTACCTAGACAAAGGCCGAAGCACCACAGACACACTTCAAGCACAAACTCGTATTTGTAAATAAATCTAGTTAGAACGGCCTCGGCCAAAGTCTTACATAGCCTCGAGCTCACTAGACTCTAATGGAACAATAATAATTGTTTTTGGTTTCGTTTAGTAGTCTCCCTATTAGTCATCGGGGCGGTCTGTGCGTTCTCGAAGATTTTCGCATTTCGAACACGTCGCAAGAATACCGACAATACCCCCTCTAGCACCTCAACGAGAGGGCTGCACACATTAGAGGTGGCGTAAATTGGTTTCTTGCGACGTGTTACCCCTATATCTGATAGAAAATTGACGAGTTTTGATGAAAGATTTCTGCTTAAAAGTTGGTGTGTGTTACTTAAGTGTATTACTATAGCGCAAAATACGGTTTACTTTAGTAGCTTAGTATTCACACGCTAACACGGGACTTTTACACATTATTTATATTGTTGACCTTTAAAGAAGCTTATGAAAATAGCAGTACTTAGTCTAGTATATGTTATTAGTTTTGTATTTATACAAGAACAAGCAGAAGGTGACGGGGTTGGTAGTGGTAGGGGGCGAGAACTCGCTTGACACGCCTGCGGCGTCGCGTCGCTCGGTACGGTAGGATTCTTCGAGAACCCCAGCATGAGATCTGACTAGCTTTGCTTACGATATACTTAGTATAGGCCCTGTGGACGGCCTACAGATAAGCGGGAGGCTTACTCACAAACTATACCGTAGCAATGCAACCACTAGCAATGGATCCCGTCGAGCGGCGAAAGATTTAGAACCGAAACGCCCAGCGGCGTTTTCGCAGTAAGTGATCTGGGTTGCTGAAGGGCCTCTGAAGGTACATGCCCCCCAAATATTAACCCTTTGGATACTGTAGGTAAGAAGGCGACTCAGAACGCGGGAAAGCCGTTCACGACAATGTCTATAGCGACTGCACCTACAGTGAGTGGGCCAGCCATACAGCCGAGTTCCCAGTCGAACCCACGATGTCCTGGCATGAACCGGTCTGGCGAGCCCGCCGACGCTTCTTGTGAAGGCGACCAAGAAGGCGACGTGGGGCAGCGAGGAGAGGCCCAGCGCCACACTTGCAGGCCCGCTCCACCAATTTCAAGACCCGGTTACGCCATCATCGCTACGGCCACCGTAAGACAAGATTAATTCTCCTGCTACCTCGCTATGGCGTGGAGATCTAACTGGGCAACATGTAATTTGCACATGAGCCAGACCGACTTCACTTTCCCAACATCCATGAGCCAGTCCATACGTGACCCTCTGCAGTGGCCCACACGACACTCCGGCTGATGCCATGGTCTTTAGCACCCATGAAACTGGGGGCTTCTACTTCAACCAAGACACAAACAAGACGGCGTGGCCAGACACCGGTGCCATTCGCCAACAGCTTGCGTCTAACACTGAGAGACCATCTGAAAGTAGCAGTGGCACGGCAAACTCCGAGACATTTCATGTAAGCCGACTTTACACTGACACTGTTGCAAGTCACAAAGCCTTAATTGTATTACCACGCCAAACCTTAATTCCGACAGCCGCCTCGGAAGAAGCATGGAGCTAGACGACGACGAGCCCTTCCAAACCAACCTTCACATTGCCGCCGAGGCCGGCCACGATGACATCGTAAGTATGCTTCTGGGTTCAGGCTACGCCGTCGATGAGTGCGACAGTGAAGGCAACACAGCTCTGCATAGGGCCAGTCTCGGTGAACACGTCAAGGTCATGCTGACGCTGCTCAAACATGGCGCAAACCCCAATGTCATGAATGTTCACGGCTGGAGCCCTGTGCATATGGCATTTTCCCTCGGATCTATGGAGGTAGTAGAGGTACTTATGCAACGTGGTGGTGATCTGAAGAAGCGCGCCAAAGGCAAGTTGAGCTTCGAAAAGTTCAAAGAGGCTCTCGCGGCAAGGTCAAGTTGAATACGTTTTTGACGTATCAAAAGATGGTTGCTGCGGGCTGTTGGTGTTGAAATCACATATTGGACTGTATTGAGGCGACAAGAAGTTCTTGCGGAGATCCGAAACTTTGTTAGTGATTACAAAAAGCAACAGAGCAGTGAATGTGTCGAGTGGATACATGTCACACAACCATACGTGTGTGCAGAGTTGAGAGACGCTAAGCCAAGTGTCAAAATGACATTAGTTAGTATGCTCTACCTTTTGCTTACTCAGATTTTGGTCCAAGAATGGCGCGAATTTATGATACATAGATCTCTGGTTTGTTCTTTACATCCTTTCTTAGCAAGAAAGAAAGACAATAGCTTCGTCACGCTATCGGGGTATTTCTTCAGTATTTTATTGTCGCTTTATGGTATCATAAATAAGAAAGCGTTGTTGTTGGATATACTGAAAATAGAAAGTATAAAGGCGGCAGGCCAATGTGTGTACAGCAGAAAGCCAAGAGTTGATTGCCAATCAATTCTAAATGGATACAGACGCTAATCTTGTACGTATTAGCATATTGGCTCCTGGATAAATTATAGTAGGTTAAATTAAATCCTGTATCTAGACTTTTCCAAACCAGTACAGCGTAAAGTCATACTCCGCACATCCAAGCTCTTGCTCACTTCACCAAAACTCTCACACCCCTATTTTTCCGGTCAGGGAAAGAGATTAGATAATCAGTTTTCATCTGCACCGCATCGCGTCCGGTCTTAAATAGGTCAAGGTTGAGCCGGCGAAAGATAATAGCCAAGCCAAGATACAACTCTGCGCGTGCCAAGTTGACTCCAAGACACATTCAGAGACCCTTGCTATATGCAACTAGGTACTTAGCGGCTCTCCAGTTGTTGCCAGTACCCTCTCAAGCCACCGCTCATGCAAAAACTCATGCGGCTCGTCCCAGATGCGCGGGTCCATGTGTGTGTAGTAGGCCGTCATGCTGAAGTCTGCACCAGATGGGTTGACCAAGTCTTTGAATACCACAGGCACTTTGCGGGATTTGCGCGCTGTGTGCGGTGAGATGCTAATCGTGATGCGAAGGGTTTCGTTGACGATTGCGCCAAGGTACAGCAGTGCTTCCAGAGTGACTAGGCACGGTGTTACACGCGGGTCTGGAAATACAGATTCCAATTCTTTACGTAGCTTTGCCTTGATGGCCGGATGTTCGACGATGTAGAAGCCTGCTTTAGACAAGGCTGTCAATGTTGTTTCGATGCCGCCTGCAACGATGGATCCACCTGGAATCGTGAGTAGAGTGTTTCAATGACGGCATATATAAATTTCACCTTCGTGCTTGAGTCCCTCAACGGCCTTTTCTTCCGGGGGCAGGTTTGAGTTGAGAAGCTCGCTAAATACCGTTTGATGCTCGACATCCTTGTGCGCATCATGAGATCCGGACTTGATGGCGCGGATCTGGTCTTCAATTTCCTAGGATATCCAGCGCTAACACGTCAATCAAGAACATCAAGGGACCGACCCCTGGAGTCCGAAAACAGCGCCCATGACTAGATCCATGCTACCTCACTGGGGGTGTTCAACTGTGTCGAAACTCGAATGGGGAATGCCGGTTCAGTCTTCCCATTCAAATTACTTATCGAATTGCGAGTTACTGGCGAAAAAGACTTGAACGAAATCCGGGTCTGCAATGTGCAACTCCCAAGGGTTGATATGCAGGGTCAAAGTATCGAGGTCTGGGAGGTAGTGTGGATCGGGCATGGTCGGGTCGAATTTGGTGCACAATTTGGCCAGAATCTAGGAGTTTGCTGGCAGATGGTAAGAGTAGGTGGATAGTGTGTACATTGTTGCTTCAATGCCGGCGTCAATCACGATAGATTCTTGCTGCAGGCGTTTGGTCCAAAGCTCGCTTGGTGAAAGATCGGATTCAAGCAAGGCTGTGAGCAGAGACGGAATGGCCAGGTTGTTTTCTTCAGAAGCATGTGCGGATTTGGTGTGCTTGATTTGTGTCTCCATTTCTTTGTCCGAGGAAACGGCAGACTGCATCAGCGGAGACAGTAGCACAACGAGCCATTGTTGAAGCAGCTTCAGCGACTTGATCATCAATAGAAATAGAGTCATCAAGTGGACGGGATCTAGGAGATCCACCGTGTAGAGTGTTGGTCATGCTAGACATATATAAACAGATGGTTGGCGTGTCTTAGCTGCAGCCCGTTGGGACGAGCATATTGTACTCCAGGCTCTTGGGCAGGTAGATAGGTGTACAGGCGCTGGCATGTGTGAAGTCGCAGAGTGTTGAGCTGAGGCACGCGTGACATGTTCACTGCGCTTACCTGCTGGGATGCCGCTGATTGGTCCGACGTAAGCGGGCGACATGCTGACATGATGACACTGTCGCAACCACTCGGCAGCCGCAAAAATAAGCATAATGGCAGGCGTGCCACTCTGCTTAGAAACCAGACAAGGCTGACGGTGCAGTGTCTAGGGATTACGTAGTCTACTTACTTACATACATACAATATAGATATGGACAGCTCTATCATGACATTGGCTGCAGACTCACCCCGTATCAACAACCGGCTGTTCCTGACCCCAAGTGGCATGCCATCATTCTCAGCATACCCCGGATACCATGCCTGGAAAGACATATCTCATCACGGGTGCCAATCACGGTACATGCTCCTGGACTCGCTCTACCTGTAAAGTAAAGTGCTCTCATTGCTGACTCGGCCTGAATGGCGCTGCAGGCATCGGCCGAGGCATGTTCGGCCATTATGTCCCACAGCCAAACAAAATGCTTATCGCGACCGTGCGCAGCCCTGCCGGTGCTTGGGGCCTGCTCAGTGTTCCCAGACGCGACTCCAGGCTAATGCAATCTCGGTCCTGATATTGTACAAGGCGATACGGAGGTGACTATCAAAAGTTCTTGCTAACAGGGGTGCATTAATTACTACTAAAAATAGGGCTAAAGCTATATAGATTAGTCCCGCCGCCCCTCTTTATACTTATTACTACTTTTAAGTTTAATAATATCTTAAATATAAAATAAAATACGCTTTATTTAAGCTTAAATTTAGTATTAGAGTAGCTTATTCTAGTACTTCTACTATACTTTTATCTCCTTTACTCAACTATTTAGTGCGCCTCTTTATATTATTTTTTTAAGCTATAGCTAAGCTACTTTAATAGCTTTAAGATTAAGTAAATTATTTAGCTATAAAAGCTACTCTACTTTAGCATTTTAGTATATAGTTCTTTAAGCGTAGTAAGTATATAAAAGTGCCTTATTTTCTTAAATAAAAATATATAGTTTCTCTTTTTAGCACTCTTTTATAAAGAGAATTAGCTTTAGAATAAGGACTTAAGTCTAGTAACGCTACTAATTAATACTACTATAACTACTCTTATAAGCTAGCTTACTTATCTCTTTTACTTATCTTTATTATAGAACTCTACTAAGCTTATTACGTAATTTAAGCTTTTTTATACTTATTATAAGCTCTTATACCTTTCTTATCAAAGGCTCCAGAGCCTTATTTAACTTTTTAATTTAGAAAGTAGTGTTTCTTTTTTTTATATAGTCTTAGTGTAAAGGGCTACGCCAGAGAGGTATGACCTACAGGTCACATGGTAGTGAATCACATGACTTTAGTCACGTGACTAAATAACGTAGTTAGCTACGTACGAACAAGCTTAAGTAAGGAGGAAGACTAAAGGTCTGAGCGTTCGTACGAGTAACAACTATAAAAGGAGGGCCCTCTAGATAGTTCTTTTCTGTATCTTTCTTCTTCTGTACAATAGGTGAATGCATACTCGTTAGTTAGGCCTCTCTCGCCCATAACACTTAGGCCTTTAGATATAGTATAAACTTTTATAGTTATATATAAAGTAGCCTTAGAATATAAATTTCAAGTAGCCCTTTTACTACTCTTAGATAATACTTTTAGTAAAGACTTTACTCAGGCGTTGCTATATATAACAGCTACTATAATAGTAGTTAAAAGTAATAAAAGTCTTATCTAACTAAATAATATTCTTCTAATCTTTAAGTATTCAATCTTAATAGGTAAAATACTACTTAAGTCTTTCTTATCTTATCTTTATTATTTACTTAGGCTTTCTTATTAGCTTTATCTTATTATAACTAGCTACTTAAAGAACTTTTTGTAATGGGCGGGCCCAACGGGCCGAGCGTACGACTACTTACGCCATCCATAGCCAAAAAGGCAGTAACAAGACTTCAAGCTTCTTGAAGTCCAGGTAGTCGTATAGATATACTCGATCACACACACACTTTAGGCGTAGCCTCTTACACTTTTTATATAGTAGATAATAAAATATTATAGCTATAAATACTAAAATTACTAGTAATATCAGTATAGCTTTTTTTTTCTTTTATACTTATTATAGCGTACATTCTTAAGAGTAGTATTATATATTTCTTCTTATTTAAAAAGGTAGCTTACGTGTAAGGTATCTTTAAAGTACTATAGAAGAATCTTAATTAGGCATATATTAGGCTTAAAGCCTTATTAGTAAACTCTACTATAAATTAAGTTAATTATATATAGTAATATACTTATTAGTTTTATAATTTTACGTATAGATTTGCTACTAAAAGGTAACTTTAATATAATAATAAAAGAGTAAGTTAATATATTGTGCCGAGGCACAGGGTCACCATGACCCTTGTGCTAACTAAGCACTGCTTACCTTCAAGAAGGAACATAAATTGATAGTCAAGTCTGTAGGGAAAAATCAATCAATAATATCTCTTAGAAAAATCTCTTGCTCGAAGAACCAACTACATATATTTTACTCCCTCTCCCCTCTCCCATAGCCTATGGGAAGGGGAAGAGCCTATAGTTCTGTTCCCTCTACTGAGAAGACATCGCAGTTCCACACCACACCTCTACAATATCTATATTTAAAGCTATAGTAGATTAAAAACACTTAAAAAAATAAGTATATAAGCTATCGCTAGCTTTAAAGAGTTAGTATAGGCGCTAAGAATAGTCAGGCCAATAGGCTGGCGGCTTAGCGTGGCGCTAGCAAGAACTTTTGACAGTCACCTCCGTAGGGTAGTTCCGTATTACATATCTGTACCCTAGCTCTAGTGCTGACAAGGAGCCTCTTCTATTCGGCTATTAATTTTAACAACACGTGTCTCTGTTATCTGCATGACGCGTTCATTACGAAGTGATGACATTAACCTTATAGGATAGGCGTCAATGCTTTACATGCTGATCACGTAACATAGCAGCTATGCCTACTGACTTATAGCAAATGTCCACCAGAAGACGATCGCATAGTAATCTGTGTATTTGTTTAGTAGTGCTAAGATACTTAAAGTATAAATTACTTTAGGGTGAATAGCTTTGGGTAACGGGGTATATATAGCGCATGTAATGCTGGGATTTCATAACATGTACTGACTTGAATTAAGCGGTGAACTAATGACCTCGGCGCCGAAAAGGGAATGCAACACAATCCTAGAGCTATTGTGGAGCCTGTGACTGCATAGCGTCATCATGTGTACGTAGCTCTCCTTTGCTTAAGCTTCGGTTGTTTTTTGAGGCTTGCTAAAACCGAGGCCTCGTACGAGGGATAAGCACTATATATACTGCATCTGCTCCTATTTACGTGCTGCCAGTCAAGCCTCATCCGAGTAGATTACCTCTCATTACAATCACCCTCTTGATCAACATGCAGCTCAAAGTAATTTCCGCTTTGATCCCTATGATTTCCCTCGTAACGGCACAATTCTATGTAAGGTAGCATATACAATTCAGAATATATTACTAATAATAATAGAACTGCATCCAAGTAGGCAGTGATAGAGCAAAATCAATCCCAAACTTTGTAAAAAACTTTCCTAATGGTGCTTGTTACAACCCCGATGATGTGTTTTCATATAAATGCAACAAGGTATGAAGAGTTTGACTAAATATCCGCTGTCAAAACAAATCTAATAAATCACATATAGAACTTCCCATGCCGTGTGAATGGAAATGGTAAATTAACAATCAAATATTATTGAGAGGCAGTATGCTAACAATTTGAAAGGATGTATTCCTTGGCCAAGAGACTTCACTGCAAACTGTTCGTAAGGTAACAGAGCTGAAGTTATGCTCCTATGTATGCGGGTTGTAAAATCTTAGTTAGAATAGACTGTGAACACTAAAGAAAACCTGATTTTTATATAAATAATAGGCTAAAAGCACTCCTAGTAGAGCTATATAACCTAGTGTGAACCCTCTATTACTAAGTAAAATGAATATACCTTTATAAATAGCTATCTTGAATATATAGAAAGTTTATAAGAATTGTAGAGTTATTATATAAAGTTAGGCTATACTTCTCTTAGTCTTAATCTAGGTTAGAGTAAGACAAGTCCTAGAGTATATCTATATACTATCGTAGAGCGTTATTCACCTCTAGTTACATAGGTGCTTAGTACATAGCTATACAGGCTCTATTACTAATAGTTTAATAGTTACTCTAACTATAGCCTTAGTATGTAGATTAAGTATTCTAATAAGTATTTAGTAATATAGTAGTCTATGTATTCTGATTTAACTGTATATATTCCTATTACCTTTCTCTCCATTTTCTAGTTTTTATACTAGTCCCTTGTGTAACGGGTCGAGTCCTATTAGACTGCGCACGCAACTACAACGCGCCCACCGCGCCAAAAAGGCTGGCACAAGATATCAGAGCTGCTGATATCGTTGCGTAGTTGATACATAAGATAGCCACCGCTATCTGTACTGTAGCGGGCTACCTAGCCCGTTACACCTTGGCACTACCTGACTACTATTCAGCTACTAGGGTATTTTCCCTACTAACTCTACTACAATATATCTCTATTCAGCTACTTACTAAGTAAAACATAAGTGTAATATACTAAACTACTAGACACTAGCTTTCCAAGTTAGTGCTTTACTTATTTTTAGCTATTGTATTAGCTAAGATTCATTATTTCTGATATCTCTATTTTTTAAAGGCCTTTTTTTACTGTTACCCCTCTGTAATAGATCACAGTTAAAGGTTTGGCTCCAATGGAGACCGAGGGGATGAAGGGTATTTTCACTAGACAGGATGTTTCACTGACTATGGTACAGTGGGTACATGTTAAAAGCAGTGGGAATTTACCGCCTACTCATCCGTCACCTGACTGATGCTATTCCATTTTCAAGAGGTCGTCAGCTCGCATGCGCTCCCTGACCCTGCGGCGTCTTGCAACACACTGGCTGAGACAACCACGGAACGTGGCAGTGGTGGTATCATATTAAAAAGGTTAGTCACAAGGGCTGACCACCACCAGAAACCATCAGCCGATTAGTGAGTCGAACTCAGTCTATGCCACCCAGCTG